TGTTGTTTATTAAAGAAAATTTAGAAGAAATGTGTATGGATAGGTAATAAATATAGACTGATAGTTGTGAAAAAAAATATTCAGGTGAAGGTTGAGATTTGTATGATAAATGTATATAGCATTCATTATAATCAATTTTAATTGATATTGTAAGTGCATAGTTAAAATTGTTTAATTGTATATAATTGTAATGATGAATGTGTTTTAAAAAGAAGCTAAGTGTTTGGAGATGTGGAAATAGAGGTAGATTCAACCCTGCTAACCACACATTATAGCAAGAGTCTGGATCATATAGTGTATTGTAAGCTGAGTCTTGAAGTTTTTTCTTAATATGAGATGATAAAATAGAATTCAAGGAAGTAGAGGATTCTTCTGTAGATTTGCTTACCATATACTCAGCTTGTACAGCTATGCAGAATATCATAGCCTGTCCTGTACATTGGGTCTGGCTGTCATTAATCTGGTCCTCCGCATAAATAGACTTAACCACCTGTTTACTTACATTATTTTTTTCTAAGAATGGTTTACTGGCTATAGAGGACATTATTATCTTAGAAGTAATAGCTGCATTTATATGTTCTACAGAAGAATTTATTGAAAAAAATTGTGTGAAAGTGTTGTAATATAATCAGGTTGTAAGTCCTGTTTATTGTTTTGGTTTGTGTTATTGGTGTTTGAGTTAGGCATTAAGATGTCATCATTCAGAACTGCAGATGAATTAATATTGTTATTGGGTGTTGAAGTTTTGGGTTTGTTAGAAATATTTAAATTAGAGAAAATAGATTTGGTTTTGGGTGGATTAAATTTGATATTAAATTTAGAATGTAGGATTTGTTGAGCTTCTGAATAGAATCTTTTATTATAAGATTCTCTAATTAAAGAAATAGGAAGATTGTTATTTTTAAAAATATAGAAATATGTAAGTACTCTAGCTAAGTACTTAGTACTAATAGGTTTACTGATAATTTTGTCAATAATTTGGTGTGGATGATGGTTGTTAATTTGATCATTTGTGGCAGCAGCACTAAGATAAGCTTTGAAAAAGCTGTAAAAATAGTAGCTTTCACATGCTTGGTTGGTTTCAATTTTGTTAAATTCAATGAATTCTTTTTCAGTTTTTTTTGTGCACCAAGATTTTGCTTACGAGCGAGCCCGCTTAGTAGCAAGTTAACAGAGAAAGGTGATAGATGTAGGTTTGTTAAAAGTAGTAGTATTGGGTTGGTCTTTGTTAAATATAGAGAAATCAAGGATAAGGTGTGTCCATTTTGGTTTGGATTGAGTGTTAGTTAGAGCTAAAAAGTGATTATATAAATCAGTAAAAAAAAAAGAAGATAAGTTTTTAATATTGTGTTCTGTATCATTAGGTAATATTGTACAGTTTTTGACTGTACAAGTGTAAATATAATATAAAGCAGCCTTAAAGCATAGTCTGGAATGCTCTTGTAAGGAGTTTATAGAAGTAATTTTAAATTTAGAAGGAAGAAGTGCTTTGTATTCATTAGAAAGTTTGAGGGCTATTTGGTATTTAATATAGTTGAATGTTTTTTCTTGATTAATATTATAAAATTGACATTTATAAATATTGAAGAATTTTTCAAACCAGATTTTAAATTCGGATAAGTGGTTTTTTAAAGAAGAAATTTGAAAAGTTTGAAGAAATTGTTTTTTAGAAATATTAAGGGATATATTAATATTGAACTTGTCATTATTTTGAATTTTAAAAAGTTGTTGGTTAATATTGTCTTCACTAATAAAATAGTTAAGTCTGAAATAGATAGGGTAGAGTTTAAGATCTTTATAGAATTTTTTAGCATGAATGGTTTTGTATTTGTTATAAAGAATAAGATGTAAGCAGGCTAAATTAAGTGTTACTTATTTTCAGTTTGTAGTAGTATATAGAGAAATAGAGTCATAGAAAGCAAAAATTCTTGGATAGTTTAATTGTATGAATAAGGTTGTAGTAAATTCTTGCAAAAGTGAAGTAAAGGTAGAATGAATTAATTTAAATGAAATTAAAATTGATCTATCAACTAAAAGATTTGTTTCATAGATAAGATCAGTTAGAAATTTAGGTCTTTTGCTAGCTAAGGTTTTAACCAGATATTTGTAATTAAGTTTGAATTCAAAATCATTTTTTAAAGCTACTTGAGTGATTTTTCCTAAATAGATGTTAATAAGATATAGTTTAATAAAATTAAATAGTTGTTGTGCAGTAGAATTATTTAGTTTGGTGTTATTTTTCATAAACTCAGTTACAGGATATTCTTTAAACCAATCGAGGTTATTAGTAGTATCTCATTAGTTTACTTTTGGTTTTTGTTTTTGTTGTGAATTGAGTTTTTTGTTTTTCTTTAATAAGAAGAATTTAAGAAGTTGGATTTTTTCAGTAGGTTTCATCCATTGAATTTTGATAAGAGCAAGAATTAGTTTTTGTTTAAGAGTTAAAGAAGGAATAATTTGTTTTTTGGAAGTAGAAGAAGAAGTTTGAGTATTTAAACTAATTAGTTTAGATTTAATTGAAGCTATAACTATTTGTTGTTGAAATGTAAGAAGAGAGGTTTGAACCAGAGGTTTAAGTTTAATATCTAATAAATAAGAGACATAGAGTCTGTGAATTAGATTTTGTTTGAAGATTGTACAAATTGTGTAGTTGGGAGCATGACTATATTGCTCTGTTGCTATACAAGAAATATTTTTAGTTCCATATAAGAGATATATGTAATAGTGTTGAGAATGTACACAATTGCAGAAGGTGTAGAATCTATTTGGAAGTTAGGAAATAGCATATAAGGTTTGGAAGAAGATAAATTAGATTGTTGTTGTTTAGGAGTAGGTGATTGAGGTAATTCATCAACTATTTTTTTGAAATGACCAATAGAGATAATAGAAGTAGTTTGGATTATAGGTTGCCTGAGAGAAATAGAATAAGGAATTCTATAGAACTGAGAGGTAAAGCTAGTATGATATGTTTTACAAAAACATGTGGTGATAATAGGTTGTTAAGGAACTTTGAAGTAATAATACTTTTTTGTTGTATACAAGTAATTGGATTAATATCTGCTGAAAGCACACATAAAGATTGAGGTTTTCCTTCTACTATTCCTACATCATACTGATCTTTATATCTGTCATGGTAGTAGTTAATGTTATAAAAGTCAGGATCTTTAGAGATTAAAGTAGGCATAGTTTAGAGTTTAAAGAATAAAAACAAAGACAATAAATAAAATCTTGAGTGTAAGAAGATCTGAAAAATATGAGATATGACAAATAAGAGGATATGACAAATAAGGAATATGACAAATAAAGAATGTGACAAATAAGAGGTATAACAAATAAGAGGATATGACAAATAAGTGGCACAGGGTGTGCAAGCTAAGTGGTTACAATGACGATGTTGAACAGATTTTTGTGTTAGTTAATTGAACCAAAAATAGAGAAAATTAAAATTTGTATAAAATTAATTAGTAATATGGCTTTTGGTAGTAATCTGCAAGTGCTAGGTGTTCTAAAATACAGGACCCCCCAAAAAAAGAAAAAATTTTTTGCAAAAAAAAAACAAAAGTTTTGTAAAGGAGTTTTAAAGATTTTTTGCATAAAACCTTTAATGTTAGTTTAATATTGATGTATAATATATCAAAATGAAGCTCTAAGTAAGCTTTATCTTTTTGTTTAAAATAATAACTAAGATTAGCTTAATAGATTATTAAAATTTTTAAAAAAAGTATTTTGCAGTTTAATAAGTATATATCATTATACAGAGGTCTAGGAGATATAAAACTAGGCTGCCTATATGTAAAATTTAGCTGTAAACAATTTTATTTAGAAGGCCAGAGAAGATTTACTTAATAAATTATTTAGTTATTGCTAGTTTATTATCAAAGAATTTTGGTACAAATGATTGTCAAAAAGAGTTAATAATTTGCGTCTTATTGTGCCAATTTTATACAATATAGTTTTTATATTTGTTTATAAACTTTTTAAGACAGCTTATATAGAAGTTTTGTAGTAATATTTTTTGCTTTTGTTTGTAATTAAGTAAATAGTCTAATTGATAAAATAAGACTAGTAGGCATATATTCTTGTGTAATGTTGTATAAATGTTAGTTTGTTGTGAAATTATGTTACTAAAAAAAAGGCTATTGTATTGTAAAAGTATTTCTTGTAGTTCATTAATTTGAGTGCTAGTAATATCAGTAATATGATTAATTGTTTCTGTTATTGTTTCTTGGATAAGATTAGTAAGGAGTATAGAGTTTGAACAAAGAATCCAATGTAGTGAGTGTTCTGATATATGATATACAATATAGCTATTGCTAGTTATTGTTTCTGAATATAAGTTATGAAGATGAAAAAAAGTAAATAGTATATTAAGTTGTAGTTTAATTTTAAAGAATTTACTATTGCTAAGTGTAAAGTTTGTATATAAGCTAGTTCTGTTAATATTGTTATTTAGATATAGCCAGGTTGCTTTCCAGTTAATTTGTGAAAATAGAGGAATAATGTTGTTCATCTAATTTTAAGATGACCATATAGTTATTATGTATGCATTGCAAATATTAATTTATTTAATTTATAGTTTTATTAATAAGGTTATATTTTTATAAAATTTATTTAAATTTTAATATTAATTTTATAACAATTTTTAATACTTTTAATATATTTCTGTTATTTTTAGAATTCTAATTTAGATAAATTAGAAAAACTATAACCTGTTTTTAATATCAAATCTAATCTAATATATTTTTTCTTTAGTTCAAATCTAGTAACTTGGTTAATAATATTTCTTATCTAAAAGTTTTTTTATTTGATTTTTTTTTATTAATATTTTTTTCTAAATCTAGTTTTTATAGTTATATATATTGTTAACATTAAGGTTTTATATTTTTTTAGTTATAACTTTTGATGTATTAGATCAATTTGGATAAAACATTAGTGGTATAATTGTAATTTGTACAGATTACAATTATACCACTTAATTCAGACTATAACTATCCCCATTAATGATTGGATCGCATGTATGTCATCATTCGAGTGATGAATAATTCATACTTGCATTATTAGAGATATATTAGTATTCGCTCTATTATTCAAGTGATAAATGATTTATGCTTGTGTTATCATTCGAGTGATAAATAATTTATGCTTGTGTCATTATTCGAGTGATGATTAGTTCACGAGTCAGTCATCACACTTGGGTATCCTATAACTTATAAAAAAATATAATAACAAATTTGTATTCATGTCGTCAGACTTTATCAACTATTATATGTAGAGATGGTAGACAGCTTGTATATCCTTTAGAAGTTAAATTCGATATTGATAATGTTTTAATCGCTCATATAAATTTCCATATATCAGTTTAATGATTCTGATCAATTTCCAGTAAATAGAAATATCCGAATTAGGTTATGATACTAGCCTAGTCCTTCTGTGTTTTTTATTATAACCCAGATTCGATAACAATATTTGTATACTGATTTGATAACCATAACTGATTTCTAATAACTATGCTATCAAACATGTATGCACAATTGCTATTGATATATACATCATAAATGTTATCAGAAGGTGTTATCAAATATGCTATCATGTAAATATATCACATAGAATTTTTAATAAAAAATAATCATGTAAATGCTATTGGGTATGATATCAATATCGCTATAAGTTTTCTTTAAGCACTTCTGATTTTTCTGCCATTTTCTCTAGCCTTTTTGCTGATAATGATCTTAAGATCAATACTTACTAGCATGCATTATACATATGTTATATTTAGAAAAAGTTAACTTATCACACTTTTTATATGGTGTACACTTAGGAGAATTCCCGTGAATATGACAGTCTTCAACTCATTGTATACTTCTTCGCCACCAAATAGATCAACCATATCTATGCTAAATCCTTTAACAATATATACCGCATAGAATATTTAATAGAAAATTAATGCAATCAGAACATGTTATATATATGCTATCTGTTACTGAAAAATCTTCAATGCCAACTTCAGTGACAACTTTGGTGATGAGTTTATTATTAAATTTTGGCTTTAAATTCTTTTTTATCTTGTTCTTATATACTGTTACTAAAGTTACTGAAAATAAAGTAAAAATCTAGAAAAAAATAAAACTTTTTCTTATAGTATACTTTTGATATATACCCGATATATACCCGATATATATTATATATATGTAATATATCCATATATAAAAAAAAAAGAAAAAAAGCTGGAGAAATTCGATCTTTTTTAGAGTTTTCAGTGACAGACATCTAGAAAGCTTTCTAAAAGTTTAAAAATATGGAATTTGATAGAGATCTTGATTTTGAAAATTTTCTGTTACTAAAAATTTTCATGACATTTGCTATAGTAAGATATTATATATATACTTATTATATATTTTTTATGACCCTTTAGGGTCACCTCTTTGGGCCTGCAGAGCAATAGTTCTTCAAACCTATAACACTATTTTGTGCCATCTTCTCCAGCTTCTTCTGCTAATATCGATCTCATCTTCAATATTTATCTGCATGAGTATTACAATAATCGTAATTAGAATAAGTCAACTTATTACATTCTTTACAAGATACGTGTAGTGGAGAATTCTAGTAAACTTTACATCCTTCAGGCTGATAGCAACCTTGATTGAAACTTTTTCAGTCCTAAGAATATAGAAGCAATGATAAAATGCTATATTTATATAATTTCAATATAGTTATTATCTACTAATAACTATTCTTTAGAATTAATATTCATTTTGAACTTTTTTTTTTAGAACAATATACTAGCAGTAAAAAATACTTACTATGAGTACCCAATATTTCCAAGAAAATATTGATTATGTGTCAGCAGAAGTGAGAGTACCATCTTCTTGTCCAGAGAGCCCAAAAAACTCAGAGAATTTTAAGCTGAAGATAGAGATAGAGAAAGGCTCTTCAAGCTATTGCTCCGCAATAGAAAACAGTAAGGCATTGTACCACTGAAGGTTTAAAGCTTTTCCTCAATCACAGATTTCAGAAAATGAAAAAACAGAAAAAGGCCAACTTATCTGATATTCTGATGAAAGTTATTTAACAGGATTTTCAACTCGTAATAATATAGTTGCATAAAATGATGAGGGTTTATCTGCAATTCTTAATAATGCTTTGGCTAAATGAGAAGAGATTTCTTTTATGGCTGTTGATTTTGAGGAATTATAAGAAAAAATAAGTGAAAAAAATCATTATGTTTTACATTTTTATGGCTTTCTCATCAATAACCAAAAAGTAGTAGTTATTTTTATAAGAATCCAGATTTTCTTTGACTTACTTGTACCTGATAATAAAACTGTAAATAAGTTTAGGATAAAAATAGATAAAATTCTTAGTAATATGATAAACATCTATAAAATAGAACATATTAAGACCTTCCTTTTGCATGGTTATCATACAGAAAAAAAGTCATATTTATGAATTTTTATACTCTGTAGTAGGAATAGGAAGAAAGCTCTCCAAGCTATCTAAGATAACAATTTCGAAACCACTTCAGATAATATGTTCTTATTCCATCATAAAATAGCTAGAGAAAATAAAATTGTGATTTCTGGTTGGTCTATGATAAGCAAGTATAGATACAAGAAACATTCCTATTATACATACGATTTTCAAGTTTCTATAAATGATTTTTAACCAATAGAAGATCTAAAAATGATAAGTGACCATTTTCCAATTTCAGCACTCATGAGAGATCATACACTTATTCTTATATGGGATATCGAGACACAATCATGAGAGTTGGATAAATTTGCTAAAATACATGATGAAGAAAATGTTGTATTTATGATTTGTATGACCTTACATTGAAAAGATGACCCAAGACCATTAAAACAAATCTGTCTTGTCAATCTTGAAACTGCATCAGATCCATGACAGATAACAGTTGTATGTGGGAACCAGACAAATTTACTAAAAGCATTTGCATTATGCTGAAAGGCCTTCCTTTCTAATATTCAATTCGGATTTAGTGATTCTGAATATAATTGGCCATTTATTATGGAAAGAGCTTGCAGACTTAATATTCTTAAATGAATATGGAAGCAAATAACAGAAACCTTTAAATCATCTAAAGAAATTCAAAAATGGAACTATTATGAGAAAATAGAAGTAAAATCTAAAAATAGTTTTCAAATTAAAAAAGGCACCACTAATAATAATAAGAAAGAAAACAATAAAGTACAGCCAGTTATAATCAAGATTAGTTCAGAGGATAATTATATTTCTACTTTTCTTAAAGTACCAGGATGTGTACCAATTGATGTACATCCATGTTTTATGAAACTCTTCTCTCATGCAGAAGTTGATAAAAAAAGTTCACTGGCATTTTACTTAAAACTATGTGGACTTAAAAGAAAAGCAGATATGTCATATAACAAAATATAGAAAATCTATTCAAAAGCAAAAGAGAGTGTTTCTCTAAATAAATTACATTCTTCTACTATACAAAATATGTGTAAAGTAGCACATTATTGCATTATAAATGCATTGTGTTGCCAGGAGCTTATGGTTAAGTAAAATGTAATTAATAACTATAGGGAGGTTGCTACTATAACTTATGTATCTTTGTTTGATTCGCATTATCGTGCAAATAGGCTGAAAGTATAAAATCTTCTGAGTGCTTATACTTTCAAGCATGATATAGTATTTAGTACAAGGATATGTAAAAATATAGAAAAGGAGAAATTTCCTGACACATATATTTTTCTATCTAAAAAAGGTATAGAAATGGAAAGACCAGTAATGGGTCTAGATTTTGCACCTTTATATCCTAGCCTTATTATAACCTATAACCTTTCTCCAGAAAAAATTATATTAAGTCCAGATGAGGCTAATATTGTGCAGAATAATAGAAATAACTTGCATAAGATTGAGTTCCCATTTAATAACCGTATTATCTATGCTTGGTGTGTAAAACATGATAATCAATTCAAGAAGAAGGGTTTATATCCTATTGTATTAGAGGATTTATTTAACAAAAGAGTAAATTTTAAAGCACAACTTGCCTCATTAGGAAAAAAAAAGGAATGCCTTGGAAAAATGATAAATTTAGTTAAAGAGAAAGGTAAAAAAATCCCAGAAAGATTAAATTTAGAACACTTATCTATATGCTTCGATTATGATTATTTAGATTCGAAACAAAAAGCTTTAAAAGTATATATGAATACTTTTTACAGAGAAGCAGAAAACTCAAAATCTCTAATCATTCTTTGTAAATTAGCTAGAGGAACTACTTCAGCAAGAAAATACAACCTTAATCTTGTCACTGAATTCATAACAAAAAAGTGTTTAGAATAAAATATGAAGATACTGATTCTTTGTATCTCTCTTGTCCAGTTAAGTATTATAAAAAATGCGATGAAGCCTTCTCCAAGAAAGAACTTTCTAAAGAAGCATATTGGACTGAAATGATCAAAATTACTATGAATGTGATGAAAAAGTTACGTGATCAAGTCAATAAATATCTCAAAATAAAAAATAACACATCTTATCTAAAAATAAATATAAGGAGGTATTATTTCCCATTTGCTTTACTAGTAAGAAAAAATACTTTAGTGTACTACATGAAAAGGATATCAATTTTAGGCCAGATAATCTTTTTACATGAGGGATTGATACTGTAAAGCAAGGGAATTCAAAACTCTTTAGATTTATTGGAAAAAAGTTTATGCAGGAGGCTATAAATATTAACAATACATATACGATTTATGAAATTGTTGAAAACACTCTCAGAGAAGCATAAAATAAGGAATAGAATTTTAATGAATTTATTATAAAGGGAATATGAAAGCCAAAAAAAAAAAATCTTTGCAACATTCACTTTATGGGACATATAAGAGAGAGAAGTGAGAGGATTCCTGATCCTGGTGAACAGTTTAGTTATATAGTTATAAAGAGCCTTTGTCTTTGTGATGAGAAAGGCCAGTTAATAGTGCATAGAGTTGGTGATTATATGGAGTATACGGATATAGCAAAAGAGCAAAAAATGGAAATAGATATCAATTATTATTTAGGTAGTATACTTGCAATGTGTGCACATTTTATCAATGAAGATGACAGGTATCAACCACTTTTGTCATATAAGATTATGCAACTCAAAGATTTGGATAAGAAAGAAAAGCAGATTGATGCATATTCCCAGAAGGAAGCCAAAAAATAGCTAAAAAAATATATTAAAAGTCTATAATAAGTATTTTACTAATACTCTCAATATAAGTAATACCTATATAATAATAAATTAATATTTTTTTTGTACATAAAAAATATCCAAGTTTAAATAGATAGTTCTTAATACCTAGTTCACATATCTCATAACCAATTATTTTTTTTACTTATACTCAATCTATGTCTCAATACTACAAACCACATACTATAATAATTAATAGAATAAGAAGAATATATATCAATAACAGTAACATTAAAGTGTTTGCCACAGTAGGAAGAGAAAAAGCCTTGAGATTAGGTCTCATCTGGGCATTCGATTTAATCAAAGAGGACATATGTGGTTTAGTACTAATTTTGCTAATGCTAGTTTCATTACTTACCTTGGAGTTAGCCTTAGTATCATTTTTTAATAGTTTAGTAATATCATCATTAGTATATGTCAATATATTACTATCAGTTTTTTTAGTTTGCTTCATATTTTTTTTATGTATAAAATATTTACTGAGATCAGTACTATCCAAAGATATATTATCAGACTTAGTAATATTTTTTTTGCCATTCCTACTAACTATAGGTTTTGATATAGTCTTCGATTTCAGACACTCAAGCTTATTGACCTTTGATTCTAATTCACTCTTTATATTTTCTAATTCAGCTATTTTGGATTTGAGGAACATAATCTCAGTTTCTTTTTTCGATGAGTCACTTTGAATTGAAATTATATCTTTCTGGGCTGAAGACAACTTACTTTTTAATATCTTGATCATAAACTTGAGTGATTTAATTTTCTTGGATTTCATAACATTCTTAGCCTTGAATTCAGTAATAAAAATATTTTTTTGTGCATTATGAGAAATAAAATTAGTATTTTCATTTTGTATTTGCTTATGCTCATTAATAACCTGCAAAGTATGGGTGCATAACTTTTGAATCTTGGTATTAGTTCATAATGAATTCTGATTTCACCCCTTTCTTTCTCGATCAAATGCCTTCATTTGCTTTTTGTATTTATCCTGCAATTTCTCACTAAGCTTATTAATTTCTGCTTTGAACTTGATAGCATCATGTATTTTTTTTTCTAGCTCTTCTTCACGTATACTACCAAGTTGATGGCCTTTAATATTTTGTAATGTATGTATATTAGCCAACATATTAGCATCTTGTACTTGCTCTGCTAAATAATAGATAATATATAAAAAATAAATAAGATGCAAAAGTAAAATATATCTTCAGTAAATATTATTTTTTTATATATCTGTATATTTTTAAATATAATAAAACATTTCGAAACATTCTAAAATATTCTGAAATATTTGTATATTTTTTATTATATATCAACTACTATATATATAACTAATATTTTAAAATATTTCAAAACTTTTTAAAACTTTTCTTTATATGTGATAATAAAAATATTTCTGCAAAGCAGAACATTTACGTAGTTGATTTGGGACATATTTATAAAAAATATTATAGTGCTAATGCAACTTTTCTTTCAGATGAGGCAATTCAAGAAATTAAAGAATCAATAGGTATAATACCTAATGCAATAAATACAATGGCAAAAAAATATCGCATATTTCATTCTCGTGTTATTGATTATATAGAAAATCGAGAATGCTAACAACAAATAAATTTTCGATTATGAATTGAAAATAAGGTTTTATTGCAGAGCAAGTTTTTAGATAATTCTTTGAATCATAATTCTCTGAACCTACACTGGAATCTACTACTTTCAATACAGAAACAAAAAAGAAAAGATCCAAATTTCGGACTAATTCTGCATTATATAATAATAAGCTTTGCTCTCACATATCTGATTTAACATCTACTAATAACTCTATAGAAAAAATAAGTAGTAAGGATCTGGATGCATTATATGAAAAAGAAGTCAGAAGAGATGAGAAAAATAAAGCAAATATGACTTGCCTATTAGCTACTACTTAGTCTATCTTTTTTTTATTTATGCTATCATCTCTAAAGGAGATATGTTCGAGTAGTTTTTTATAACGTATTTGCAACTTTTCACAAAAATCATTTATTTTAGCTTTAGAGGTGAAGGTAATATATAGTGATTTTTCTAACTCCTTATAGCTCATGCATTTTTTTTAAATGATGAATCAACAGAATCTGAGCTAAAACTCACAGGAGCATGCCATTCCTCCAATGGTATACTGTCATTCTTATCACTATCTACTTCCTGTGAAATTTGATCAGATACCAAAGGCTTAGATGTAATAGTATCCTTATTATGTAAGCCATCTTAAGTTGCAGTAGCATAATTTACTTTGAGCTTATTTTTCACCTTATGCATAATAACAGAAAAAATATGATCTTTTCTATTGTGATGAATCTTCATTTTATCATTATTCCAATCAATAACACATTCATATTTTTTGAGAAGTCAGTTTGAAAATATTAACATTGGCTTGGAATGTTTCATGACTACAAAATCCTCATATATAGTACAATCAGGAGTTAGTATTATTAGTAAATTATGAACGATACCAATAGACTCAATTGGAATAGTAGCAATATCACTAAGGTTATACTTCACAGATCTATCAAATTTTCCATTTATACACTTAACAATATCTTCTGTTATGATTTCAGTTTCAGCCCTACTATCAAGTATCATTGCTGGGATTTTTAAACATTTAATTTTGCATGGTATAGTTGCAATACCTGTATTGGGTTTTTTCTGAAAAACAAAATCAATTTCCATAGGTTCATCCAAAGTCTCTGGAGCTGGTTCTTGATAATTATTATTTTGAATATAGTATAATTTTTCATTATTAAAATTGAGCTTCTGCAATAATAAAGATAAAATATCTTTAAGTTCACTTTGGATAATTTTACGAATAGTTTGTTCTAAAACTGTTTGCTTACTCCCACCCCTCTTGTGAAACTTAGGTTCCTTATCGATCTTGTGGGATTTGGATATCTTCTTAGATAATGATTTGCTCGAACTACTCTTCTGGTTTACTTTTTTTTTGTCCTGGTAATATTAATATTCATACTCTCAGTTTTAGAGGAGGTATTATTGGAATCAGATCCAGAATCAGAATTATTATCAGAAGAGTTAGAATCTGAATCAGAATCAGAATTATTGATAGCCATATTAATCTTACCTTTTTTATTATTGCTAGATCTCTTGGAATTTTTAGATTTCTTTCTAGGACACTTATGAGAATTGTGTCCAGTTCTATTACAATTTGAACAATGGTGTTTGAATAATTTAATAACAGCATGAACTCCTGCCTTAAAACCTTTCGACAAAGTTTTATTTATTGATAACTTACCTATATGATCAGCTAGTTCTTTGTCAGAGTTAACTTCAATATTTTTCTTTGATTGTACTGGCTTTGCTAAAAACATATCTGACACTTTTTTATAAAGATCATTAACTAAAGATTCTATAATTTGGCTGGCTGAAGGAGTTGGGTTTATAAGATCACAATGAATAAATTTTTCAGAATTTATACTATATCCATCTGGTGGTCTTTCTGGCATATATTTATCTGATACTCTAAGGTAGTTACTGAAATCAGGTTGCTTTTGCTAAGACTGTAAAGCTTGTGTTTTTTGGAGCTGTGAAGACTGAATAGAAGTAGTTGGTACTAAAGCTAATTGTAATTTTATTATACTATCTAGTTCAGCTCAAGATATACCACTACTATTAGAATGTGATTTATTTTATATATTAACAGCTGAAGTTTGAGAGATTTGGACAGGAATGGAGCCTTTATACAAATTTGGAGAATGTTCTAACCACATATTTTTAAGTTCTGTAAAAAATGCATTAATGCTAGCAGGATTAGCAATTTTCATCCAAGTATAAAGCTCTCCTGATAAATGGCTCTTAAGAAGTCCTAAGATATTGGCATCATTATCAGCAACCTCTAATAAAAGAGGATGAATTCTAGCCTCATATGATTCTGAATTATCAAATAGTAAGAATTTTTCTTGTGCTAATCTTTGTGTAGCAACTTGTTATGTACCAACTATTTCTGTTTGATATTTATGATGCAACTAAACAATGAAATGAGCTGGGATATTAATATTATTACCAGCATGTTAAGTGGGTATATTTGTATATTTTTCAGCCATCTTACTTTTTAAAATATCTGCTCGAAGTGGATTATCAAAGGCAGCTGACATAATTGATAATAAAGTTAATATTTGATTAATTCTTTGATACCATTCATCTGGTGGAATTTGTCCACTATAATTTGGAATCTTTGCAATTAATAATGCAATACTGGTTAAGTCTCCTGCAACTGTAACCATATTTGGTAGATTATTATGTAACAATAAAATTTGTTCTTGTAAATTATTTATTAATTGTTCAAAATTTCGAGCATGATTTTTCTACTTACCCCACTTGTTGTTCAGTTGAACATTGGCAAGTAATAGATTATTTTCTTGAGTTTTGCATTTATTTTTCCATTTGATATATCGATTTCTTGTAAGATTTAAGAGATGTATAGTTGTAGCTCTATCAGCTTCACAATTTTGTAATTGCTTTTGAGTTTGTCTATTCAAAAGATGCAATGTAAATTTTTCTGCTAACAACTTTGATATTTGTCTTTTTTGCATACAGATTGTAATTTGACCATCAAGTTCTCGAGATTTAAATATATTGTGTTGTGTTCTGTAGGCCTCATAAGCCTGATGAAGAAGGCCATAGTCATTTTGAAGCATAGCTAACTGGGTTTGTAAATCAGTTAACTGGGTTTGTAAATCGGCTAACTGGGTTTGCAATCTGCTACTTGATTTTCTGCATTAATTGCGTGAGTATTTGCCCATAGATATATATCTAGTACCAATCTTTTAAACCTATTGCTAACATCTGAAATTATATTAAAATAATCTATAATACCATTTATTGAAGGTGCTATTGTAACTGGGCTATGAAAATACTGTCTAATATTATTAATCTTTCACTGAATTCTATTATTTTAGATCATGGCTTGATTTTCAGGTAGAGATAATCTAGGTAATTCTAATTGTTGTGCCATCTCTATAGTATTATTGGAATTTTTATACAAAATAAGTATTTTTCATTAAGTTTGTTAATTTCATCCTAAAAAATTACTAACCTTTGTTCTAAATAATCAACATAATTCACTTGGCTTTTAGAATCTTGAAGTGCCTTTTTTAACCATTCTTTGAGATTAGAAATTTCTTGTCACAATAGATCCAAATCCTTATCTTGAATCAAAATTTCTTTTTCAAGATATTTAATATAATCTTCTTTTAAGGCTAGATCCTGTTGTAATTTACAAAATTGATTTTTTATTATCTGCAAACTAGCTTTGAATTTTTTAATTGTTTTACTAGGTGGAGACACTATTGTATTTGATGGCATTGTACAAGCCTATAATATATCGACACTTCTGAAAACTTTATCAAATAATAATTTATTAATATAGTAAAATGTATCAAAAATGAACCAAACTAGTATCATAATTAGTACTAATAAGAAATTGGCCCTAGTTTGCTGGTTATTATTCTATCAACCAACAGAGTATTATTCTAACCCCTAAAAATTATGAAAAGATCTTAAAGCAAAGGGATATCAGTTTCCATATAAAAAAATATGTGAGTGGCTTACAAACCAGAATGAATAGCAAAAATATGTTCATCATCAAAAAATACTCCATGGGTTAGTTATAGAAAAATTTCACATCCAAACTGCATACATATGTGTGATTTGTTACATCTCACAAATGATACTGTCAATAAAAAGACATACAAATAGGTACTTACAGTTATAAATATTGCATCTCGTTTTAAATAGGCTGTTCTATTGACATCGAAAAACAGTTCAGAAGTCACCAAAGCATTTAAAAAAATATATGATAATTTGAATGTTCCCCTTACCTGGCCTGATTTATTACAATACGATAGTGGACGTGAATGAATGAATGAGACTTCAAAAATAATAGAGGCACATAATGTTATAATACGAATTATAGGCTCGTATTCTCATCAAGATCTTGCAATCATAGACAGATTTTGTAAGACATTAGCAGAGATGCTATACAAAGTTCAATCTGCTGTTAAAACTATATCTGGGAATTCTAAATTAATAAAGGCATGAGTTAAACAATTACTAAATATTCTTGAATATCTGAATAATTATTTAATATGACTTATATGAGCACTAGGATCAAAGAAATAGGAATTAGTGCAATTAGATTGGATAGAGTAGAGTCTAGACCATCTACAAAATACAAATGTTCAGTTAGTAAAAATTAAAAAAGGAAGATACTGTTTATTTCTTACTCACTAATGCAGAATAGAAAGAAGGTATAGAAAAATAAAGGCATGCAACAGATGAAATTTGGAGCCCTTCTTTATATAAAATCTACAAAATTGTAATAACAAAAAATGAACTGATTTTATATTATTTAGATAGAGAATTCGCACTAACATATAGGTTTGTATGTGAAGAATTAATGCTAATTAATCTTAAAAAACTTCAGTATCCATCTCAGAGTATATTGGAAGAAAACACTTGTTCCAGGTCTGTTAGTTTCATTTGTATTATTAATAAAATGGCTAAAGCTGTTGCATATGCTAAGAAGTGTAACAAAAAATGTCTTGGTAAAATTGGCCAAATAAATAATTTCAATATATATCCCTGGTCCTGTGAAAACAGAAAGCATTAGTGGGAATATCCATATCTATTAATAGCTATGAAATTTGAATGGTGTCTACTTTGCTTCCATCATACTGATGAGCATTGCTATAGATATATTTTCAAAGATCTATTAGGTAAGAAATTTCCATCTTGTAAACCATCATTTTTGAATAGGATGCAATTAGATAGGTATAATAAAGAGCTAAAATTGGCATATGAATTCCAGAGAGTTCAACACTACTATTACAATAGTTTATATCACAAAAATCAAGATGATTTAGATAATCAAAGAAAATACAACTAAAAAAAGTAGGAAATATGCAAAGAGTGAGATATAGATTTTATTGAAGTACTGTATAATGCTGATTTATTTCTATACATAAAATACAAATTGCAAAAGAAAGGTTATCTACAAAATATAGATATAAATAGCATGTCAAAATCAGATTATTTATCAAAATAAAAAACATAATATATATTTATAACAAAAAGATGTTATATTGTGTATTTGCCATAGATGAGGTAAAACCTTCGAAAAAATACCAGAGTGATAAAGATGCACCAGCATGGCCTTTTTGTATTGTGATGACAGAAGCTAGCAATTTAGGTAAGACCAATATAAATTTAAACTTGCTAATAATGCCCAAATTTTATTACATGTTTAAGAAGAAAAAGCATTCTAAGATAGGAAAACACAATGTTAAATGCAATGATGTATTTTTTTTCAAACATCATTTAAATGAGCCAAAATATAAAATAGTTCAAGATTTTTATAAATATCTTGCCCAAGACAAATCAAAGTCCTATTATGAAGATGTCACATTTTCTTCACTATCTTCTGATAAAATTCCAGATCTCAAAAAGTTTAATGCTAAAAGAAGTACATTAGCGATATTTAAAGATCTTTACTCTGACCCTCCAGCTATACAGAAAAAATTATTCTATTTTTCACTCAAGGTCGTTATGAGAATATTTTCTCAATTTATGTTGCTCAGAAATTTCACAAAATCCTAATAGATATTTATGAAAATGCTACTCACATTGTTCTTTTTAATGGTAGGGGCTCTATTCGAAAACTTGCAGATATTATAAGTCCTTACACTGATGTAGATTTATGAAAAGCTTCAAAAATTATTAATGGTTATTTGAGGCAAAAAGAGTTTATAGTTATAGATCTGAATAAACACAGATTTAAGTCTTTCTCACTTTGATGAGACACTCCTCTTGATCTAGAAAAGGAGATCAAGGGATTAAAAAATAATAAACATTTTGCCTAACTAGGACAATATTTTAGAAGATATAATACTTTAAAATTGGATAAAATAAAAGCATAACAATTGAATAATTATTTTTTTAGTTATTTATTAATACAACAATATAAGTACATCCTACTTGCCACTTCTATTAAGAAGCTGTCTATATCCAGCCATGATTAGAATTGAGGTAGATAATTTTAACATCTTATTTACTACTATTCTCTAATGAAATAGCTATCAGTATCTAGCCTGATTAAGATTGAAGTAGATGTTGAAAAAATAAATAAAGTCTATTTGTATTAAGAGGTTTTTTGTGTTGGGTAAAATAACTGTATATAAAAACTAAAATAAAAATGTTATCAGCCTCAGGGATACCTCAGATGGTTTTATTTTAAAGATATATATATGAATAAGTTATATAATTAATAAATTAAATAAATAGATAAATTACATCTTATAAATAAATAGATATATATAATAATTATGTATTACTAACCTGATGCATTTCTTCTCTAACTGCCTATAATAATTTATAATGCTCAGCGAGTTCTTTAGCTTTGAGACCATCAGGTTTATACATAATCTCAATCTATTTTTGTTGTATAATCTTTACAGCTCTGATCTTTTTTGCTGTTTCTCGAATATGTTTAACTCTATTAATAAGATTCTCTATTTATAATTCATATTGATAAATAGCTAATCTTGTGTAAATATCACTTTCAACTTTTGGTTTTTGTTTAAGCTCTATATACTCTTTAAAATATATATCACAATGTCTATTTTCAGTACAATTTGTATGCCAATGTTCCTTCATCTTATAATTGTGATATAATTCATATCCTACTCTTTTATCAATATAAACAAACTGATCATAGCTATAACATATAGCAATATTCACTTTAACAGCTATATGATAACTAAATCCTTCTGTAGATTCTATCTTTCTGGCAATAAGATATTGCTTATTGTAATCAGTCAATTTATTGTTATTTCTATAATTCACTAATTGATTCCAGATTCAGTTCTTCCAATTAGATAGTATTTTTTCATCACAAATTACTAGAAATTGGCAGTTATCCCTCTACTTGATATCATTTAAAACTGGACAATTATCTGTATAGACTATATTTAATAATTAAGTAATTTAATGTATTATAGTGTTTTATATTGTATTTAGGGATTTAAACCTATTTGATTTAATAACTATATACTAATGAATATCGTAATTTATTTTTGTGTCATTAGGAAATACACATGTTGGACTCTTTGTAATATATATAAAAATGGCTAAAATCATTATTATTCAAGTTTACTCTGCAGATATGCAATCGGGCCTATGCACTCAATCGAGTTCATTACTACATTAAGAAGAATGTTAATCATATGCTAAATTATGATTTAATATTTATTGTTTCTTGTATTTTGCTGACAAGTCTCGCTTTGTAGGTTCTAGATCTTTAAGCAGTTTGAGCCAAAAATAGTATTATAAATACTAGATATCTCTAGATCAAAACTTAAAAATTTAATACTCACCAAGGTTAGCTTGTCTCAAGTTTTTTAATTTTGGTAGGGATTTAGAACCAGACTTGGAAGAATATCTATTTTTTTGCAGTAACCTTACCTTCTTTTTATTACTATTTATATTTATATCTATTTCGTTATCTGAATCTGAATTGCAAAATAGGAAGCCAAATTTTCTATTTTGTTTAATCATAGTGTTATGTATAAAAAATACGACACTATGATGTATGCCTGTAAGAACCAGAAGATTCCTGTGAACTAAAATGTTTGATCTAAAAGCAATAGCTTGCCTCTGTTTTGCATGTATTATTAGTTTTAACTTAGGAAATACTAATTGTCTACCTTCAAATGTTCCAAGTAGGCACACAACACAGAGTGAATTGCAGTGGTTTTTTAGATCATGATGGAACTGGCAAAACTCATACAGCGGCCCTCTCCCAAAATTCTCCTAGTTATACGAAACTTGATTGGATCATTTTTCCAATTTTTCCTAATTTATGATTTAACGAATTTTTTATAATACAAGTTCGAAAATATATATATCAAAATTATTTAGAATTGATTTTACAAAATTTATTATTTTATCAGTCAAATATATAACATTAAATTTTGGAATGTTATTTGGTTTTAATGTCAAACAAAACAGTAAAGTAAAATTTCTGCAATTAATAAAAATTTTATTAAAATGTATAATAAAATTTAATAAAAATCAGGTTATAATTAAGTGCATATATTCCTAAATCCATTCAAAATTATTCATATACTATCTAACCAGCTCGCTAAACTTTATTAATCTTTGAATTTTATCTAACTTATCAAAATAAATTTATTTTATTGTTTTAAAATGAAATGTTGTTGTAATGATTAATATTTAATTCTTATCTTTCTTGAATAGCTGCTGAGAACATAAGACTTCTGATTTGTTAGTAACTTTGTTTAATAAAAAATTTTCACTTGTAAATTTATTATCTACAAATGCATATATAAAATATAAATATAAAATATATGTGAACATTAGTAAAAAATATTATAATATGAAGTAAAACAGTTAATAAACTAAACTTACTTAAAAAATTTAATAAATTCTAAGATCTGGTTAAAATTTTTAAGTATTATTTTATGCAATTACAAACTTTCTATATATTATTTAATTGAATTGCAAAAACTTTATTCTTAAGAAAGCCAATTCATTATTTGGTTCAATTTCTAATGATTTGTTTAGATCATTATAAATAAGTGTTTCTACAATTTCTTAATGCCAATGAATTATCCAGTTCAATGTTTAATAATTTGTTTAAATGTGATCACTATACAGAAATTTCTTCACAATAATTTAATACAAATGTATTACCAGGTTCAATTTCTAATGATTTGTTGAAATCTGCAAGTGCTTTATTATATCTGCCTATTATAAGTACTGTATTTCCACAATTTAATAATACAAGTACATTATTTGGTTTAATTTCTAAGGATTTGCTAAAATCTGCAAGTGACACATTATATCTGCACAAGTTTCTTTATGATCTTTTAATATAGATACATCACCAAGTTCAACTTCTAATAATTTATTTAAATTGATAAGTAACTCTTCATTTTTGTTTATCATATGATAAGTGTTTTTACAATTTCTTAGTGTATCTATATTTTTAGTTTAGTTTCTAATGATTCACTCAAATTTGGAAGTGACTCATTATATCTGCCCATTATATGATAAATGTCTCTATAATCTTTCAATATAAATACATCAGTTTTAATTTTTAATAATTTTTTCAAATCTAAAAGTAATTCTTCATACTTGCCAATTATAATATAAGCGATTCTACATCCAGTTTAATTTTTGATAACATATTTAAATCTGTGAGTGATTTTTTGTATCTTTTCATCCTACGAATGATTATCCTAAATATCTTAATTAATAAATACTCTTTAAAATTAATGTGAATAAATAATAATTTAATAGTAATATTTATAAATATGAATAAATTATTTTAAGTATGCTAATAGATTAGTAATCTTCTCATTTATTCATTAAGTAAATGTAAAATAAAAAGATATTGTGCAAACATTAATGATAAAAAAAAAAATAGAAATAAAAACATTAATCTTCATACAAATTGAACAGAATAATAGAATAATGAAGTTAATGAGATATAGTATATATAATAGAACATAAAAGTTATTTAAAACACTATGATGAATAAATGCTTTTTTGCTTATCTATAAATTTAAGATAAACAAAATTTGAGAATAAAAAAATCTTTGAATATAAATTGAATAATATAAAACCTTAAAGTAATTCCTAAACAATTTATATATCAAGAATTGTAGTTGCTAAAAAAAAAAAAAAATAAGAATATCATATGTATTAGACTTTAACTATAGATATTAATACCTCTTACCATTATGTATCATGAAGTTTCAAATAAGCAAGCATTAAAAACAAATGTGCAAATATTATTGTCTAATATTTATCTTAAAAACATTGTATGTTCTTTTGAATCTTTATATGTTCTTTCTCTAGTTTGTTTTTTTTATGCATGATCAATATTATCTATTATTTCACACACCTATTTTGAACTTTTAAGTAAAGCCTTCACATGCTGAAAATTACCTGCCTTATACTCTTCTTGTATATGCCGAAGAAAATAGTTATGTTTTTCAATTTCTTTGGTAAATTCTTCTAGCGACAATTCTATATTATTATCTTCATCAAATTCACTTGTTTCAATCAATATTTTCTCTAGCATTACATTATTAGAAGACAAACCAGTATTCTGCAAATTTTCATTATTTCCAAATTGCCAAAAAGAATATTTATGATTTCGATGAAATCCATTATATAACAATCTTTTTGATGCGCCATTAATCATGTGAATTAAATGTTTACATATTAAAAATTGATTATGAAGAAAAGATGAACAACTACAAATCATTTATCTGTGTCAATAAAATACTTTTCTTTTGTATTTTTATTAATTTGTTTTGCACAACATGATTTCTAATCTCATTTGAAAGTTTCCCACCAGTAAGGATTTACTCGCTCTGTATGTAGTTGATAAAACCAGTTATTTTAATCAGGAAGTAATTTCTCACAAAGAACATAAATTACATAGTCAAAGCATAGACAGTTAAACCGATATAAATAGTCATGTTTAACAACTTTCCAATGTGCCTCAACTAACATGTTTGTTTTTTCAAATGGAATAGAGTGTCGATTACTATGTGCCTACAGACCCTAACAGTTTTTTGAATACTAAAAAGAATAAAGGTAATTTCAAAGCCATGAATTTTGGTGCTCTACACAAAATTGGTAAGTTTCTTGTACAGCTCTTTTCCAAATTTCTTCAGTGATTAAAAAAACCCATCTTTGTTAATAGGAATAAAAGGGTGCATGTCAAAATGTCTTTTTATTAAAGACAGAACTTCCTTTTGATATCATACTATACAAATAATGCCGGTTTTATTTTTTGGAATAAAGTTTGGATAAATAAACAGAAACAATGTTAAATCAATTTCCTTAAATGAATAATATCATTCTAGTTTTTGACTAGATTGCATCTTAGTTAAAATAGCCTTTTTCATATACTATAAACATAACTGAATATCAGCTTCTGGCCAAATCATTTGGGCTACACTTAATTTAGCAAAATCTTTGTCGGTAAAAATATATTCAGAAAATAAACCAAGATTTTTAAATTAAAATAAAAATTCTACTAAAATTGATATTCTTGTCAATTCAATTTCATCTTGTTTAATATCTAAAACAAGATACCCTAATGTAAAACCTGTTCTATTCTTTTCAGCAATTAAACCATAAAATTCAAAATAACCTTTTGCTGTTTTGTATGTAGCATCTAGATGAACTTCCTTTGTATTTTTTAATTCATCAAAAAGTGGTGTAGAGAAAGCAATTGCTACTAAAGTGTCTGATATTTTTGCAAATAATAATTTACAATTCTTTGATTGAAATTTATTTTCAATAAGAATTATAGCTGACTTTACTGGATCTTCATGCTGTTGATATAATAACTGAGTAAAAAAACTCCACCAATAATAAATCTGTTTTCCAGTTATGTCTTTCATATCAAATTTAGCAGAAAGATGAGTTCATAATTGTAATAGATCAAGATTTTTATTCTGCTGAATTTCAGTTTTAATTTCTTCAGGAACTTTTGTTTGAATTGAAGGCCATTCGTGAAAATTTTCATGTTGGATTTTTACATTTGCATATGATTTTAAAAGATTAGTTCATATAATAAGATGTCCATTACAATTATATCGTACTATTCTTTTTCGGTTCGAAGGCTTGTAATTACTTAAACTTTTAGATTGACTGCATGCATAATATGTTGTACCAACTTGTTCTAGCGTAGTTTTTGAATAATTGGTTTTAATAAAACTATAGTAAAAAAAAATTTTTTTATATTAACATTAATAATACCATAATATATATATAAATACTAATGTAGTAGCTTTGCACTACATAAAAATAAATAAATATGCAAGTTGCAAATTTTAATATATATATTATTGATTATATGTACTTCTATTTGTATCCACTTCTATTTTCAATTTGTTCATGAATAGATCTTGTAATTTCATTTAATGACTGATTTAATATCTCAAACTGAACAATAATTTCAAACTCTTCTGTATTTTCAGTTTTTGTAATTTCATCATTATTTGTAAAAGATTGCTTATATATACTTCAAAAACAGCATTGCTATTATCTATAGTATCTTCATCAGCATTGCTTTGATTAATAGGCAAGTTAACTGAATCATTAATAGATGAGTCAATTAAATTATTGGCTTGACGCGTAATTTCAATTAATGGTTTTTTGATATTAGAATTTTTCATGGTTTGGTATTTGGACTGTTGTTTATTTAAACATAAATTACAAGTTTTGGCAAATTTTCCTTTGACTCTTTTAAATTTATTTTCTGAATGTGTTGTTTGACAACTTGTGCAAAAAAAAGACATTATTAATGGTAAAGATCATTATTATTACTTAACATATATTGATAGATATAAAAATGATCAGCAAAAATTTTAATCCAATCAAATTTCATATAACCAGAAGAATTTTGGGGGGCCGCTGTATGAGTGAACTGGCAAATAGCATTGAAATTAATTGCTATAGTAGGAAAGCCTTCAAACGATTTAGGGACATTTGGTTCAAGATTAAGTTTTCTCATTTTTGTATACAAGGCTGGATATGTTTCCTTAATATAACTATTAACAGCATCAGATAATGGTTGAAGGCCTTGTATTAATTCTTGAACACATTTTAAATGACTCCAGTTGTGAGATAAGGCAGTATTTGATGTTGTATAAGGTTCATTGTTATTGCCTGTAAAAGCACCAAAATGCTCAACAAATTCTTTTGAAAATTCTTTGGACTGGTGAGACAGATTATCAAGCATGTGAACATAGTATTGTTCCACTGCTATCTTTGCACTTTTGGTGATCCTGGAACTCTGAAAAGTGTATAAATCCATCATTGTTTTCCCAAGAGCATTTTTAAAACATTGTGGGTCGAATATATGGTGATACCCTTTTATATTGATATCTTTTTTGAACATCTTATCAGTTAATACACTAGCAATAATTTGCTTGTCTTTTAAATTTTGATAAAGTGCCTCAGATATTGTTGTTTGCTTTAGTAAAACTTTTTCTGCTTTTACATGTTGCTGATGTGCATGCTTTATCTTAGACCAGAAGTACTGACAATAGTTATGAATCTGCTTTATAATAAAAGGACTGATTGCAAAAAATGCTTACAAAGTGAATTGCTTCTATGCTAAATCAGAATTTTTATTTGTGGGTTTGATGTAATCAAAAATTTCTGATTCTAGTAAATCAATAAATTCAGCAAGTATTTGAAAGATAGTTAAAATGGGATGAATAATTTGTATGGTTTGGAATAGTAGTGGTTTTTCTGAATTGTATAATTCACTTCAAATATTTTCTAGGTCAAATTTGGAAAGAGTGTCATATTTAAGGAAAAAGGTGTTTTGCTTTACAGTATCTAATGAAAGCAATTTTCAGTCCAGTAGCATTTTAATAACTTCTCATTGCCATCTTCTTTTTGCAAATTTTTTGAAAAAAGTGATCTTTGGATTCATTAAAAAAATGGATTGCAAATCATTCTTTGACTTAAGATCACTTGCTATAAAATCTTCAGATTTTCATAAAATAGAATATATTCATGTGATATGCTCTTAGATAGATGGGTCTTGCTTTGAGTCTTGTGCTAGAAAATATATATTCAAAAAACCAGTAAATTGATATACAAAAAATACTTTATATTGAATAGTAATAAAATTTTCTCAGTGGATATATTCAAATCACTCTAAGTGGTGTAGTTTGGGGGATTTAAAACCCATAAAGTCTGCATCATCTTCCTCCTCACACATGCCTCACATTAAGAATAACGATCACACCTGAGATGAAAAAATAACTTTATATAAAGAGAGAATACTTAGATCCTAAGCCTGCCTTAAAAGACAAAAAGTACCTCTAAGAAGACTATACTATAAATAATAAGGGTTTACTTGTATCAAAATTAATTAACTTACTTTTAGAAGATCATAGAAAATATCTTCTCTTACATCGGCCAGGTTAATATTGGATATGGAATTAGTATTATCTTCAATGACAAAAATATCAAGGTTTTCAAATTTAGCTTTTTTTATCACACAATGGTCTTTTTTATATAGATTTCTTTTAGAGGCCTTAGATAATAACATAACAGGTTTATTTTGGGATGACATAGTGATTATACAACAAACAAGTAATTTTTATAAAGAAATTTTTTAAGAAAAAAAGCAAAATTGAAACAGAACTTAATATTAAAGGTGGCCCTATTTATTGGCTTATTCATTAGAGATTGCAATTTATTTTTTTGTATTTGCATTGACATGAAGCAGTATATAATATGAATGACTCGGCATTGCAATAATTTAACATGAGTCAACTACTAATTGCTATTTGGTGTCATATAAACAAATAATTAAATTGGTTACTAAATTTAACACTACAATTATTGAATACGGCAAATCAATCAACATTTGCATGTTTTCTATATTTGAAATTATTGTATATTGTTCAATAACCTGTTAAGAGGCGCATTTGGCTACTTTAATATTTAGTTGTAAATTGCTATATGTAGTGCCATGTAACAAACAAATTTAAAATACACATTTGATTGAGGTTATAGATAGGTTTGACTACAAAAAGAATAAATTAATTAATAGCATATTATTTGATCTTCAACTTTGAATAAGCTATATTGCTGTAAATCAAAGATTTGGAAGTACTGCTTTCTCACATAGTATATCCAAAGTTAGAAAAAAAATATATCATGATTGTTTATTTAAATTTTTTTACACCAACAAATTCTAACCCCTGAGAACTATTGTATTTCGCAACAGTCAGTAAAAATTTATAATGAATTTTCATGCATTAAAACTTCTACTATAAATTGATATTTTTTCCGAAACTATAAAGATGTAATTTTATTTATTATCCTAAAAAGACTCAGAAATAAAGATAAAAATATATCTAATTCTTATATATTACAGAATGATTGTAATAAAAGCTATTCTCAACATATGTCAAATGAAATGAAATACCATTTATATGCTAAATATATTTTTCTAAACTTTTTTAGTTCAGGTTAACTGTTTACCAGAAGGTGTGATTTTCCCATGACCATCTTTAGATAATTTAGAAAAATCTGACTGACAGCCTCTATATAGGATAAACTGACCAAGGTCTGTCTGTTCTTGCTCACTAAACATTTTTCTATTGACATAAAGACAGGTCTAAAGGAAGACACTGTGAGAGACAGTAACAGAAACCTGATGATTACAACAAACTTTCATATCAACATAAGTAAAAATAAATGGCGCATCCATTTTTGTTATATACTGCTGTTCATATCATGCATTATGTGATAACTGACTAGTTCTAAAATCAAGAATATTTAAGCAAGTATCATTATTATTGAATGTTTTAGGTTTCAATTGAAACCTGATGAATGTGGGGTCTTCTGTATAAATATCAGCCGATTCATATTTATAAGTAATTGGATTATGTGAAAGGAGATTAGATATTTTAGTATACCCATAAGGATTGCGCTTGGCATCATTACATTGTTCTGGATTTTTGGTTGAATTTTCTTTATTACAGTAATCAGAATCATAGGGATTAGCAGTGATAAGTTTACCTTTAGCATCACACTTAATGTTAAAGCTGGGAATATGGATGTATTACCTGTATTCTTTTTTTCTGGCCCATTTATCAAAGTCACTACCTATGCCATTCATGTTGGAAAAGAAGATGGGTGGATCATCATTTGTTGACAATTTTAATGCTCCACAGGCTAACTTCCTTTGGGCATAACCTTCCACTACATCATTCAACTGTTTGTTACAATAATCAAAAAAATTTAGATTATTCTTGATGTAAGAAATGGTAAGAACATCTGGTGTTTGAAAGGTTACTGCGATTTCTTCTAATATGTCTTGAAGCAAGAAGGTAACCAAGATGATGATAACTTTGCCAAGCATGACAGCTTTTAGATGGTTATACTGTAACAGTAAGACCAAAGAACAAAAAAGCTTAATGCGAATTTATCGATTTATTTATTTGAGTTATTTGCAATGTTATGAATTTGTTTAAATAAAAACAAGTATTATATTTGATAAAAATTTTTATTTCTCCCGAGTATTTAACAGAAAGGCATATACAGAAGAAATCATATATAGTCGATATATCTATTCTTTTGTAACACCAAAATATATAAAAAGAACAGTTTAAATTATATGCAAGAAATTTACTATGCATGGTAATAAATTATATGAATAAATATATATTACTATGTTGATTGGTACCTTAAACTATTCTTTCTAGAAATGATTCAAAGAAATATAAACAAAAAAAATTCAATTTGCTTCGTGAAAAATTACCCAATTATTCAAATTTGTGCCATATTAAAATAATTATAATTTTGTTAATACCTATTTAACATAAAATTACACCCTAATGAAACACTGCAGTTAAATTTCATTCAATGTAAAAATGAAAATATCATAGTTAAACTTTCTGACTTTTAATCTGATTTACATACAGTATACAGTATAAGTTAAATAATTCACTATGCATGATATAACCTGATATCAGATGTACAAATTAATTTTTTTTTTTTTTTTGATATTAAGGTAACCTCTTTGGTCTTTTGACTTTTATTAATCACTTGGCAGAAAGCAACACAAGTATCATGATCATTGATGATGAAATTAGAGAATGAAGTTTTAAGCCTTGAAATTAGTGATCCATATCAACCAGATCAAAAGACAGTTCATGAGGCTTTGGAATAGAAGATTAAAAAGAAAAGAAATGAATATTTAGAGCCATTAAAAAAATAACATAATGCAGAGTTGAAATGTATGTTTATTGTTTTGAGGGTAGGTTTGTATCGTCTAATTAGCAAAAGAGTTTATTGTATTAATAAATAGCCTGTAGGATTAATCATTGAAATAAAAATTTTTCCTGATAAAAGCTTTGGTTTTTAACTTGTGTATCTGGTGTAATGTGAAATGTGTGTAAGAAAAATAAAAGAGTATATGTTATTATATTTAGATACGATGTATTCTCGATCATTTAGATATGATGTATTCTCGATTACAGTTGAATAAAATTAGTACATATAAATTTCACAATAAAGCTGGCCCTAGTGGTCAAATTTCGCATACATAATCTGTTTACTTTTGCATGTGTATTTTGTGAATTTATCCTGCTTTTATGCAGACAGTCCACAGATAATAGTATAGATGTCATGTATTACGAGCTAGTCCTAAATATTTGTATTTATTTTTCACATATATTAATAAAAAGCTTTTTCTTGGCAAAAGTGATCAATGTGAAGAATCTTCACATGTACATGATTTTTTTATTTGAAATTAAAGGCATAAATCAATAAAAATATTTCAAGACGTATACAATATTTTTCTAAACATTTTTGACAAAATTATATAAATTGATATTAAACATGCAATCTAAAGACAATGAGTTGGAAACTCAAGTCTCTGACTCCTTATTGAGAGAATTGAATTCCAGGCTTGTAACTAAAATTGATAAGCTTAGAAGAGAGAAGAATTTACTTATAAGTAAAAATACTAAGCTCTTGGCTAGGATTGTAGAATTAGAACAAACTAAAAAGAAGATGCTAAAAATATGAAGTTAAGAGATACTGAACTTAATACCAGAATATTCAAATTAGAATAATCAGCAAAAGCTTAGAAACAGAATAGTGAAATTGGAACAGAACCAATGCATCGATACTAATACCAAATTATTAGATGATAAAACAAATTCTAATGATACTTCTGAACAGATAATCTCATATAATAAGAAGTCTAATTCTGACATATACCAGGATTTGGTAACTCCCACATCTCTTACAGAAACCATATTATTTGATTCGCAAAGTGACTTACGTCGCCTGAAAGAGAAGGTAGAAAATGAATTTCTGGATTCAAAGTATAGAGAAACAATTAGAAAAGAGATAATTCAGAACATTAAGAAGAAGAAGCTTCAGGATTAAGAAGATCAAGAGTTACTCAACTCCTGAGAATACTATCTCTAAGATTTCTATATTACTGAATAAGAATGTTTCCATATCTGAAGCAGAGAAATTATTACTTAATAAAGATTTAAATATTCAAGATACAAAACTTTCTTCTTCTGAATCTAAATCATCTATTATCTCTTCATTCAATCAGAAACAAAGTGCTATTTCTTCCGAAACAAAAACTCTCTATAGTCAAAAGGTTGAAAAAGGTTTAATATGTGAGTTATCTATATTTATTAATGAGAAAAGCCTTTCGAATCCCATATCTGATAGACAAATTCTTGAAAACATGCTAGATAAAGATGATTCAACTCCAGGTTCTGCATTGCATTTGGCCTCTTTATTCGACAAGGCTAAAAAAACTGGTCAAAAAGAAATTTTATGTTGGTATTGTTATAGTAAAGAATTCAAAAAAAAGGTAATAAACATTAGCTTTAAAAATGAATTTAATGATCAAATAGTAAGAACACAGATTTATAATAAAATGGAACTATTTCTTTCTGGCATCAAGAGAGAATATTTGCATAAGAAAACTTAAAAGGCTAGAAATATTTATACATCATTCAAAGAAATAGGAATAGATAAAATCAAACAAGTTATGTATAGTGCTAATGCTATTTTTAGTTTAACAGGTGTTTAAATCCAAAACATAATAAAGCTTTTCTCTAAAAAAACTGAATGTCAAAAAGTAATCAGCGTGAAGAATCTTTATATGCATGTGAGTAAAACATCTAGCTCAAATGATATATCAAATATTGAGATAGTGCATCATCCACTCTAAACCTTTTTTCATTAAAGAAAATGCTGTCAAAAAAAACACATAATCAAGTCATTAATAAATTAACTATACATTTTATCAATTCACCAAAGTTGGATAAAAATAATAGCATATATACAGAAGGTGAGCATCAAACTGATTCTTATCGAGTTTTTTAGGTTCACATTGTCTACTATGTAGAGAAAATCATATGAGTTTGCAAGGTAAGTGGTAGTTAGATAATCAAGTCAATAAATTTTATTATTTGTATTGTGATAATATCAAAGATTCAAGGATCCTATTCGACGAGATACTAAAAGCCTATCCTGAAAATTTCAAATTAATTCAGGAGTTAAAGACTTAATCTTTCACATTACCTATTCCTTGAAATAATGTACTTAAATTTCTAAATAAAAGCATAACAGTGGAGGCATGATTTTTTATAGAGTATCGCAAGTCAGAAATAGAAAATATTACATCTGTAGCTCACAGTGCACATTAATATATATTTTTTTAAAATAAAAAATTGCAGTGCCATTAACCTCTTTCTTTATTTCATAAAAATATTACCAGAGCAACAATATACAAATAAAAAAATATATCACAGTTGCATACTGCAGACAAAAATATGAACTATTTATTAATTTTGATTTAGCCTTGTTATTATTCAGGATTCTTATACTTGTTGAAATCATTTTTCTCACACCATTCTGAATATTCTTCAGAAAAATTATCCAAGGGTCTGCCTTCATTAATGTTATAGTCATCATTTTCTCTAGGATCATAGGTCGAATTATCTAAATTAATATGATAAATTATATTTTTTTAGTTTTACTAAAAGTTACAATAACATACTTAATTGCCTTTAACTTTAGTGGAATTTTACTTGCCATATCAGTTTCTTCTACTTCTATATTGACAATTGGAATTAGATGTCCTTTGACTAGGTCTTGGATTGGATAGTGTTGAGGGGACATAATAGGTCTCAGAGAGGTTATTGTCATTAGTCATAGAAGTGGTGGTGTTATTACTCATAATGGCATTATTATCATTAGTGATGGTGTCATTAGTGGTGATGTCATTAGTCTTGGTAGTGGTGGTTTTTTTATTGCTCATTTTGTCATCCTAAATAAAAAAAATATAATAAGTAAAAATTCAGTTTCATAGTTGCTATTAGATAAAATGATATTACTTTAAAAATAAATTATGATTGGGTAAAAAAATCATATACAAGCAAAAAATATTATTATAACCCACCTACAAGAAACAAAAAAATCACTTATTTTTATACTGTCTATTTGCTAGATCTAAGAAACCTATCAGAAAAAAAAGTTACATAATTGTATATGTTGTGTTAAAATAAAGCATATATACTTGCAAATATTAACATATTAGAAAAAGTTATATCATATAACTTATCGTTATTTATTTTAATACAAATTAATTTGTATCCTTGTGGCCAGTAAATCTGTTAAAATTGGGTAACAAGAAGTCCATTTGGGAAGACCCGAGTAGAGAGGTAGCCAGATCTTTGACAGCCCTACTGTAAAAGCTAGCCTTATGAAATGGATATCAAGGTCAAAGTAGCCAGACAGGCAAAAACCTCTAGGTGGGGAGTACCACCAACCAGGCCACCAGATCGAGCCGGAGGAAAAAAATATTGGGCTGACCTGATATATCAATAAACTGGTCATAAGTTCTACTGAGCTATCTGGATTGGGAGTTTGGTGAACCAACAGGGGTATACTAAAGTATTTCGGATATGCTGTGAAGTAGATGCTAGGGTTTGTGTGAACTCTACAAGAGCATAGTGGTTTAATGATCAGCCCTGACCACAAGTGTTGGTTCTGTTATAGTGATATCTAGGTCAGCTGTAAAAATGGGTACAGAAGGCTCTGGGGGGTTTACCTCGAGGATAAATTAGTCCTAAGGTT